TGTTTATAGATGAATTAATATATAATTTAATGTTTAAAATGTTAATATTTGCTATTGTGCAATGAAGTACAAATATTTTATAATCTAATGCTTTGTAAATTTATTTTCCAAAACGGGTGGATGCAGACGACATTCGATTGTAATGCGCATGTGTCATTAGACAAGGATAGATAGTGCCACAAATTTGTTCTCCCTTTCTAGATTAGCGATAGGTGTTGGCCTGGCTCCCCTCCTCTATTTATATTATCTCTATGGGTGCACCCTACAAGTTTTAGCTATTTTCAGTGTATCTTAGGCTGGAATTTATAGTCGTTTCTCAGTTCTCAGTTCTCAATTCTCAATTCTCAGTTCTCAACTGCTTGTTGCTTATCTATGTGTTTCGTGATATGTACATGATTGATAAAAATCGAGGATGTATTTTTAAACGTTTATTTTCATTAAGACTTTTTAAAATTTTATTGAAGTGAGTAAGCCTACCACAATAACCATAGACGCTTCAATGGAATTTAAAAAAATCTTAGTCAATAATGAAATAAAATTAAAAAAATATATTTAAAAATATATCTTCGATTTTCATCAGTCATATATGACGAAACACATAGATTACAATAAGCAGTTGAGAACTCAGATTAAAAACTGAGAACTTGGGAACTGAGAGAAGACTATAAATTCGGGCCTAAGTACTGAGAACTGAGAAACGACTATAAATTCGGGCCCTATGTACAATTGAAAATACGTATTATAGATAGATAAGCGCATGCTCAAATGACCATGCAAACAATGAGCATGCGCGAAGCTATTGTACAACAGATTCAAAATAGCCCGCGGAATGTTATAGATGGCGCTAAAGTCTGACCAGCAATTTATTCCCCCCTATTTCTTCCCATGTTCCCTTCTCATCCTCTTGAATCACGCATCCCCTCGTCTAAAACCCTACCTCATACTCCGTCCTTCAGGTCTATGGTACGGTATAACAATATTTACTTGTTTAGTACAACATAGCTATGAGAAGTCTTTTCCATTCAGCGTGGCAATCGCTCTGCAAAAAGAAAAACATGGAGGATATACGAGATAAGAATATATACTACATGAAAAAAATGTTATAATAATAAAATTGCGA